ATTCAAGCTAGACTTGAGGCAGGACTGTGACCCTGGAAAACAGAAGCTTAAGGGTGCAGTAAGAACTGAAACCTATTGGCGCCATTATTGCCAACACTTTCCACAACTTGATGAAATATGAAATGTAAGTTTCTCCAGTTTCTAAAATCTTTTTTCCTTTCTGGGCCAGACATAATGGAAGCAACTTGTTCTGGGGATTTATGGGAATGCTGCAGCTTTAATTCACATACTAGTGTTGAAAAGTGTTTTGAGAAGCAAAGAAGAGCATTCTTTGGTCTTAGCAATGGATATAATAAGGAAAACAAAACAAAACAAAACAAAAAAACCTTGAACAGGAAGGTGGTTGAAAGGCCGTGAGTAAAACTGTCTGGATTTACTTGCTCTGTAATAACTTCAAATTATCCATCATTTGCTGTAATAAAATACCACTTTCAGTGGTAGAGTTGCAAAGTCTTTTATTTTGTTAAAGATGACTTTCCTTAGTCTTCAGTAAAAGGTCTAATAATGCAAGTTAACAATCCATTTGTTCCAACTCCAACCCTTTCCTGGGAACAACTCATTCAATCCCTCAATTTCTTCTTGAAAAACCACCCACCTAGAATACCTATTTTACCACTCACAGAGTAAAAACAAAACACTGAAACACAGGAATTGTTTTAAATGATTAAATTTCATTTGGATACTTGATCATTGGAGCTTATTTCTGCTTCAGGCCCAGTTCTTTGAGAAATGATGTAGGAATTTTCACCAAAATATTAGCCTGACCTAAGAAAGTTGAAAAGTTAGCTGCCTTGGTGTTACTGCAATCTCTGATTTCCAAAGAGATCAAAAAAGTATCAAAATGTGAATAGGAAACACAGATTACAAGTCATTTAATAACTATAATTGCATAGAATTTACTCACTTTTCAACTTAATTTTCTGAATACCAAATTTAAGAAACCAAGTATGTTGGCAGAGCTGTTAAATGGTGGATTAGCTCCAATGCAAAATTCTTTTCTATGTTAAGAAAGGGGAATACAAAATAATCCCATGAGGTAGGCCTTATTATTTATCCCCATTGAACAGAAAAGGAAAATAAGGCTCAAAAAGATGAAGTAACCCACTGAAGATCACACATTGTCATTGTCAGTGTCTTGGTGGGCACAGCAAACTTAGCCTTTTTTGAAGGAAGGTCATTTTAAATTGAATACATTAATGTGATTAATGACAAAATATTTCATGATGCAGTTTTGCTTTGTTTTTAATGGTACAAACAGCTTTCATTGGTTGCAACAGTAAATGGAAGACAGGAGGGAATACATCAACTTTTACTCCTGGGGAGGCACCTTTAGAAACTCAACAAGTCTCTGCCCACCAAAAGTGACCTTTTATTTTTGTTTTTGATTAAGTATCTTACTATGTAGCTCAGGCTGGCTTTGAACTCACAGTCCTCCTGCCTCTATCCTCCAAATGTTAGGATAACAGGCATGCACCATCACACCCATGTACTGATGCTATCCTTGAAGAAAGTTTAAGGAGCCAGGTGCTGGTGGCTCACTCCTATTATCCTAGCTACTTAGGAGGCTGAGATCAGGAGGATTGCAGTTCAAGGCCAGCCAGCCAAATAGTTCCTGAGACCCCCCATCTCCAAAAATAACCAGAGCAAAATGGACTGAAGGTGGACTCAAGTGGTAGAGTGCCTGCTTTGTAAACTCAAAGCCTTGAGTTGAAACTCCAGTCCCACCAAAAAAAAAGAAGTTTAACATAAACCACAATTAAGGATTCCAGATTCACATGTCCCTTTCAAATGCAAAACATTCCGACTTTTCCTGGTTTGGGGGGTGGGGAGAGAGTGGAAGCAGGGGAGAACGTTGCTAAGGCTTAGAACATAAACATAACAATTACATCATGAGGCACATACCCAAAAGAACTGAAAACAGGTATTCAAAAAATACTTGCACAGAAATGTTCATAGCAACACTATTCACAATAGCCAAAAAAGTGAAAACAACCCAAATGTATGTGTTAATCATCAAATAAATGGGTAAACAAAATGTAGTATCTATACAATGGAATATTATTCAGCCATAAAAAAGGAATTAAGTATTGATACATGCTACAATGTAGATTAACCTTGAAAATATTATGATAAGTAAAAGAAGCACACAGCACACACAGAAAGGGCATATGTTGTGATTTCATTTATATGAAATCTCCAGAATAGGTAAATCTATAGAGACAGATAGCAGATTAGTGGTTGCTGTAGAGCTTGGAGAAGGGATTAGGGCATGATAGCTTACTAGGCTCGGGGTCCCCTTTGGGGGTGATGGAAATGTTTTGGAACTAGATAGAGGCAGTGGTGACATAACACTGGGAACGTACTGCCACTGAACTGTACACTATAAAATGGTGAGTTATATGTTAATATGAATTTCATCTATACTAAAAAACACAGAAAAATGAAATAATGATGGTAAATGACCATAAAGCTCTAGATGATAGCAGATAATTTGCTTTTTCTTGGTTTGTCACAAATTCATTGAGTTTTTGATGGTCATACACTAGTACATAAAAATAACCCATTAGCCAGGCACAGTGTCCCAGCTACTTGGAAAGCTGAGGCAGAAGGCTTGGGCCCAGGAGTTTGAGGCCAGTGGAGGCAACATAAAGAGACCCTGTCTCAACAAAAAAACCAAAAACCATCAAATGTTCCAAATAAGGCATTAATGTAGTTAAGGTCCCCTAATGTGCCCAGCTGGCAAAGCACCTAGTAAAATTTAAAAAATGTTTTAAGTTTGTATAAAGTATGAAGGAAAGGAATATTGAGAAACACATTTAGTAATAAACAATGGCCAAAGTCTTGGGAAAAGCTAACATTTCATGCATAGGGAGAGGTCTAAATGCACCATCATGCAGACAGATGTAATGACTCAGGAGAAAACTGGCTTCTCCTCATAACTTATTTTGTGAGTTAAGAGTGGACAGTAGCTCACTGTTACCACCCTTTGACTTTGGCAAGAGATTAGCCTGGGAGGGTCTCTAGCTGCCATTTCCTGTTACTTCCCTAGTGAAACAACGCTGGAGGTTAAGTTACTTCAGGAGACACTCAACAGGGCTCCCATTGTTCCAAGTTAGAAATTCGGAGATACAATGGGCCCCATTCATGCCAAGCTCACAGGCTGGGGAATTGTCCCCTAGCGCCCGCCCATCAACTTTGGGTTAGGACACAGAGTTTTCATAGACACTAACTTGTACAAATACAAGTTAATTATTTAAAAAAAAAAAAACCAGGACAGAATAAGGAAAGAAAACTCAATAACTCAATTGGTAATAAACTGAGAGAGGGGACACCTGAGTCACTCTCAGCTCTGTCTCTAATGTGACTTTAAGCAAATCACTTGCTGTTTCTGAATCTGTTTCCTTGTTTGGAAAATAAAAATGATTTCTAACATCATAAGAGCTTCAAAATTCAATGAACACATAGGAGAGTTAGTGGTGTTGCTGTTCTAGTCACTACAATGAGTGGAGGTAAGTTATGAGTACAAAAGAATGATCAGCTCAAATCTTTTCATTCTCTAGCAGACTTCAAAGCAAGGCATCTGAGCATGATGGCTGACCTGCAATCCCAGCACTTGGGAGGGTGAGGCATGAGGATTGTGTTTGAGGCTGGGCTACACAGCAAGTTGGAAGCCAGTTTGGGCTACATAGCAAGAACCCCCCCACCAAAAAAAACCAAACAAATAAACCCCCCAAAACTAAGGAGTCTTAGTAAAAACAGACAAACAGACAAAACATAATGAATAAAGTCCAGTGAGTGCCTCCATCTCAGCAAGCCCAGGGTCACTCAAGCAGAGAGCCTACATGTAGAAGAACACAAACAGAAGACACAGCATATTTTCATGTTGCCTAGTCATAGGACTGTAATACATTTAGAATCCATGTTTCTTTGCAATGACCCCAAATCCTCAGAACAAAAACACCATTTACAGTAAGAATGTGGTCAGTGTTATAAGCTTCCACACTGTCATTTTTTTGCTTTTTCAACTTCAAAACTTGCCAGAGCAAGGACTTTATCTCCAGACCCTAAGGAGAAAGACACATAATAAAAACATTATTTAAAATACATTTACAATTCTAGGTAAAGAAGGAAAAATCTATCACATAGATAATGAAATAGAAAATAGAAGTGGCCTCCATTATCAATGCATTAACCCCTACACTTCCCACTGCCATGTGACAAACAATCCAGCACAAAGGGTGCTTACTGGTTACAAACCCTTACTTAGCTCTAGATAAGAAACAGAATATGTAAATTTTTAGTTTACTTTTATTGTTATATCTAGTGCAT